CTGCCTCACCTCTAGTGGTATGATTTGGATGGCAGGTAGTCTCAGACAAAGTTCTCTTGAAAGATCACTTGAAGCAATAAGTATACAATTCCCAAATATGTCTTATGTGCAGAGAAGATAAAGAGACAGTGTGTCACTTATTTATTCATTGCTCTTTGGCTGGACTATTTGGTCTTAGTATGGGATCACTCTGGCATCCAAGGGGTTGTCCCTTGATCTAATGCAGAGGTGCTATCGAGATGGAGATTTGGTCCTTTCTCACAAAAGAGGGCTACTTTGTGGAAACATAGCTTTGCCCATCCTAAAAGGGAATAGAAGGATTTTATAGGGCAAACACTCTAGAGCCACAACTGTAGGGAATCGAGTTAGAAACATGATTATTTCATGGTCTTTAATAAGAAAGGAATTCAAAGGTCTCCTGGTTTGGGGTTTGGCAAGAGGACGGAAGGAAGTGGTGAGTAGTTTTGGGTGTCGAAGAACCGTATTCATGTCTCATGGAGCAAGCATCCAGTTGGATTTCTCAAGCATAATTTTGATGGGAGCCTGTTGGGCAACCTGGGCCCATCAGATGTTGGGGAGAAGTAAGATATCATATGGGAGAGACTTTCTTTACTTACACAGGGGCTGCAGGGATTCGGTGCTAGGGCCTCAGCCATAGAACTTATCACAGGATTGCTCATATTCTTTCAGTCGATTCCTTAAATGTCATTCGATGGGCACGAAGGGAAAACACACCATCATGGTAATGAGTAGACACTTTGTAGTAGATATGACATGTGCCAAGATCAGCAGGTGAGATTTCAGCATGTCCCAAAATTGGTTGATGATCTCGCTAATTCATTAGCTCGCACAGGCAACCAAAGTAGGGAACTCATTCTAAGTCCGAGTCCCCACCAATTTGATTTTTTGTTCTCCTCCCTCTCTCTGTCGAATTTTGTGAGCTCAGGCTTCTAGAAATAATTATACGACATAAGTTCCATTATCTAAGAATCATAAGTAGACAACATAAGCAGTTTCAGTTTCTAAGCATAATCAAAGATATCTATGAATTATGAAAACAAATAAAAAGCATTAGCAAACTCCATAACTAACATCCACCTCCAAGTGATTACAAACACAGATTCATCTCTCTCTCTCTCT